GCACTGTGTCAGCCCCAGCCCTGGCAGAGCTGCAAACACCTTCCCCAGCTCGGCCCCCCGGGCTCCTGAACGCCCAAACCAAGGCTCGGGCTCACAAGCAGCGACTGACCTGGAACACAGACAGGTTTCAAGGCACACCAGAACTCAGAAACGTGTCCATGCCTTGCCAGGCCGCCCCAGTTCTGTGCCATCCAACTGAGCCGGGCAGGTGAGGCCAAGGCTCCCCTTCCTCCTGGGGAATCACTCTCCGAGCACCTGGAAACAACCTGGAAAAGGCACAATAATCAAAACCAATAAACATCAAAACAGACTTTATTGAGCTGCAGCACAGTCCCAGGAGGTAAAGTCGAGAGGGGCACCAAAGTAACACCTGGAAGTCTGGTTGGAGGAACACAATCTTACCAAGTTATGAGCCAGGGCATGGCATTTGGGAACAATCCCTGCCGACTGGAAAGGATTCAGGCCCCAGGCTCAGTCTGCAGCTGGCAGTTCATCTCAGCCATTCCCTCCAAACGCCACCTCTCTCCCCTCTACATCACCTCCCACTTGCCTACAGAAAACAGTGGTTGTGTCCCCTGTAAATTACCCCAGGTTTTCAGCTAAAAGGGTCACCTCTGTCCCTGCTAAGTAACCTCAGGTTTTCTGTCCAAAATGCTGCCTCGGTCTGGTCTGAATTCCCAGCCTTTCTCTCACAAAGGCTCCTTTTTCCTTCTCTAAGGTACCCCACAAAAACGGTGATTTTGTTTCATCCAAATTACCTCAGCATTTTCAGGTGGAAAATGTCGCCTCTGCTCCCTCTCCCAATTGCCTCTGCTTTTCCCTCGGAAACGTTCCTTCCGATCCCCGCACAGGGACTCGGGTTGGACCACTAAACCTCCCGTGACTAGCTCAGGTTTTACCCCAGAATTGTCCCTTGCTGTCCCGCTCAAGGAACCTCGATTTTCCCCCCTGAATGTCCCTCAATAATTTCCTCGGGTTTACCTCAAAATGTTCATTTTACCTCTCCGTGAGAGGCGGGTGCCCCGGGAACCGGCGCGGCCGCTCCTTCCCCGCTCGGTGCCGCCGGCCCGGTCGTCCCCTGCGGGGCTGCCCCGGGCCCGCCCGTTCCTCGCTAATTGTTCCCCGTTCCCCATTTCCCGTTCCCCATTCCCTGCTAATTATTCCCCGTTAATTGTTCCCCGCTCCCCGGGCACGGCGCATGCGCAGGACCAGTCGCTGCAGCCTCGCCCTTTGACCAGCAGGCGGCGCCGCAGTCATTGAAGTCATCGCGCATGCGCTGCCCTTGGGCCGGGCCGGCCGCACCTACCACGTGACTGGGGCTTCCGCTGGCTCACTGCGCATGCGCCCCAGCCCAGCACACTTCCGGTACGTCAGGGCGAGCGAGCTGTGTCACCTTTACAACTCCTTTGTTGTTTGATTTATACCTACGCAAGTCATATTTTCACTTTCGAGGCCTACAGATCCATATTTGGAATTTCTTAGACCCTAGAATCCCGTATAGAAATATAACAGGTTTGAGGTTTTAGTTTTTAAGTTAATTTTTACATAAATTATTTGTTTATATATATATAAATGAGAAACTGTAAAGGCTTTAGCATTTTACACACACACACACACACACACGCTCTCCCTATGAATTTCCAGGCATTTTTGGGCTGTAACCCCCCCCTTTTTGGTGGATCACACCAAACCCCCTTGATTTCCCCACTCTTCTTTGGGATGTGACGGGAAATTCTGAGGCAAAAAAAAAAATCAGCTTTTGGGGTGAAAAGGGCATATTTGCGGCTGTGGGAGGAAATCTTGAGGTAAAAGGGGCAGATGTTGAGGTAAAAATGCAGGTTTGGGGATGAAAATGAAAATTTGGAGGGATGGGAAAACATTTCTAAGGTAAAAAAAATCAGATTTTTGGGGCCTGGGGGCACATTTTTAGGGAAAAAAAGGCAGATTTGGGGGATGGGGAGGAAATTCTGAAGTAAAAAAATGCAGATTTTGACATCTGGAGGCAGATTTGGGGGTAAAATGGCAGAATTGGGGTGAAAGGAGCAGACTGGGGAGTCTGAAGGGATATTTTGAGCTGGAAAAGGCAGATTTGGGGTGAAAATAGCAGATTTTGGGTTAAAGGGGGCAGCTATCAAGGTTGTGAAAGGGCAGATTTTGATGCCTGGAGGGAGATTTTGGGACTGAAATGGGCATATTTGATGCAAAACGGGTCAGATATTGAGGTCAAAAAGGCAAAGCTGGGGTGAAAAGTAGATTTGGGATTAAAAGGGGCTGATTTGGTGCAAAAAAAGGCAGATTTGGGGTGAAAATGGCAGATTTTTGCATCTGGATTCAGATTTGGGATTTAAAAAGGCTGGTTTTAACGTCTGGAGGGAGATGCTGTGGTGAAAATTGCAGGGTTTGGGGTGAAGTTGGCCGGTTTGGAGGTGAAGGCTGCAGTTTTGGGGTGAAAAGTGCTGCATTTGAGGGCTCATCACCCCGGGGGGGGGGAGGGAGGAGCCCCCTCCCTGCCAATGGCTCAGCTGGTGAGAGCCTGGTGCTGGTACCGCCCTGTGCCTGCCATCCCCCAAGGGCCGTGGGCCTCGTGGGTGCCTTCCACCCCACCATCGCTCTCCCAGTGACATCGGGGTGTCCCAAATCCATCAGCACCCCCCAGGCTCCAGCCTCCCCCCATCACCACCTTTTTGCTCTCCCCAGAGAAGGCACAGAACGAGCCACACTGCCCTGGACAGCAGCACTTTGCTTTAATAATGCTCTTGGCACATATATATATATATATATGAGATATATATATCTCATCCCCCCAAGAAGGGGGCTCTGCTGGAAGAATCAAACCCTCCAAGGGCTGAAGTCCCCCCAGCTCCTGCCCCGTGGCACAGGGGCCGTGTGTCCCAGGATGGTGCCTCACCTCCCTCACCGCTCCATGTCCCAGGATGGTGCCTCACCTCCCTCACCTCCCTCACCACTCCATGTCCCAGGACGGTGCCTCACCTCCCTCACCTCCCTCACCACTCCATGTCCCAGGACGGTGCCTCACCTCCCTCACCGCTCCATGTCCCAGGACGGTGCCTCACCTCCCTCACCGCTCCATGTCCCAGGATGGTGCCTCACCTCCCTCACCGCTTCATGTCCCAGGACGGTGCCTCACCTGCCACTCTGCTCCCTGTCCCAGGCTGGTGCCTCACCTCCCGCTCCCTTCCTGTGCTCCAGCAGTGCCAGGAGATGTCTCCTCCCTTCCCCGGGGCGCTGCTGCAGGGACATTACCCCGTGGGGCTGCAGGACGGGCTGCACCAGGACGGCAATCTGGGCTGCACCAGGACGGCAATCTGGGCTGCACCAGGATGGCAATCTGGGCTGCACCAGGACGGCAATCTGGGCTGCACCAGGACG